GGTAAGGTGAAAGCTCTCCTCATGTTAGGTTGGGTTTCAATGAACATCTTTCTTATCCCATAATTATGTGCCCACATATGTTATTAGCAAGTTGATCCACTTAAGCTAAAATGTTACCAGTCCTACCTTAGGCAAGTAGACCAACCCTTTACGGTGTGGGATAGACACCGAATTCCATGGTTTGCTCACATGGTCTATGTCGGTTAATGCTTATTTCCATCATGTGAGTTATGTGCTATGGTTACTCAATAAGTTCTATGAAGTGTGGGTGATAGTATGGGATGCCATTCATGCATTACACGAGTAGGCTTTGAGAGGGCTATGGTGTGTTTCTCTAATGTCTTAATGTCTAATGAAATGAATGTGCTCATAATAATGCTAATGAGAATGTTGACTTAAAGACTTGGTGTAGTGATGAATGTTTAACTTGGAAATGTTATTATAAGTTTCTTTCCTTGTCATGACTTATTAAATGTGAACGTTCCTTACCTATGAGTATGATGAGAATGAAGAATGGTAAGAATGTTATGGTGGCCTCAAAGTGGTGCTTAGTATGAATGGTATTTATGGGATGTCATTCCTACATTGCACAAGTATAACTTAGGGTTACTTAGATGATGATTCAATGTGCTATAATGACTTACATGATGAATATGCTTATATCTTATGTGTTTATACTAAAGATGCATGATAATTCTCAAACTTGTTAAATACATGGTTTTCAACTAAAATGTCCTTTTAAGCATGATTTTTGCATGGCTATTATACTTAGTACATATTTGTGCTAATCCATATTTCTTCTACATTTTTACAAAGTGTAGGTTCCGGATCTTAAGGTGATTTCTTTGGAGTAAAGCTTAGATTGACTATTCTCTAAGCTAGTGGTGAGTCCTCAAGATTTCGAGGACATATGAGAGTCTTTAGTAGTTTCTTTCATGTCATTTTTATGTTTCAGACTATGTTGAAGGGCTGTGACCCTATTATTGATTCAAAGTTGTATTAGATGGTCATGTGAGACAAAGTTAAACTTCCACTGTTTTTGAATAAAGACTTCGATTGTATGGATAAATATTTTAAGTTCCGTGCCATTTTCTTATGGCTTATGTTATGAATGCTATGAGTCTTGTATGAGGCTCTTTGGAGTCTTGTACGCCGTGTCACGTTCGGGGTGTAGTCTCAGATCGTGACATCGAATCAGCCTTAGAAACCCTATTGAATCTAAGTCTTCCCCTTGTTATGAATTCTGGCTTGGTCTTGACGGTTGAGATTAATGGAAATTGGTTGAAATTCGCTCTTTGATCATCCTTGCTCTTCCCAAAACATGTTGCAAAAATAATGAGCAGTTGTAGGGAATTTCTGCATAAAATCGTGACTAAACGCGCTATAGCGGCACCGCCATAGCAGGATCACTCACTTTACCAAGAATTTATCCCTCCCGGTATAGTGGCATGACACCCGCTATAACGACTTGCACATGATAGAAACTTGAAAATTCTCCCAACAGTCCCTATTTTGCAATACACCTTCGAATCTTGACGTTCTAAACTAACCCCTCTACGCCAAGTTCAATATCAGGAGTTCTACCCATCCAAATTTTATTCTAAAATCTCTACAGACTCCTTAATGTCTTAGTTGATAAAAAACTAACACAAGACATTACCTTGCTCATATTTCGTCTGAGACAAGCTTATCCTATAATTTTCAACTCGTTATTCCAAAAGTTCTCACCCAATATCTTCCACTATTGGTTTATCCATCACAATCGGATGGCCTTTAAAGATTTTGAGTTGATCGAGATTGAATAGTCAGTGAATACTTTATGTATATTCAGTATATACTTCATATATAATTAGGCTATATTCAACTTTATGAGTCTATCATAATGTATTATAGTCAGTGTATAACTCATGTATATGTCAATGTATATTTTCTATGACTTTTGACAACATATATTGTATATTTCTTATGACTTTTGGCTATTTTTATGTAAATAAAATATGGCTAGATTGCTCTCAACTAATTAATTTACGGGGAACTTATCAAAATTTCATTAGCTTAGGAGCTAATTACTTAGATACACTCTAGTTTGCAATATTACGAATCTTATCAAATTTTGGTGCGTCAAGATACGTTCAAATACATGTATCTATGGATGTATGAGGTCAAAATTAAGTGTAATTTGTTCTAAATACACTATTTCTAAATGAATTCACATGTATCTAGGATACTTCGATAAATCTCAAGAGCGGACAATACGATTACTGAGGGTGAGCAGTCTCACATTCTTGATTCGTTCAAAAGGCATAAAAGAATAGGCTAGAAGTCTCACTACTAGCTTTTAGTCTTAAGCATGCAGTGACTTGCCTCCCTCCCATCTCACTCGCCACTCTCTTATGTATATGGTATTTTCAGATACATACAAATACATGTATGTAGAGTGGTTCTTATGTATCGGGGATACATTGCTATCTCTCTCCCTATCTCATTTGCCTCCCTCCTTATTTTAGTATATTTAGTTGTAAAAATACATATATCTTGGTGTATCTTATACTATATATTGGCTCCTATATCTATATCTTGAGCCTTTTGGGCTCTTATACATGTATTTGAGCCTTTAGGCTCCTGTAATTGCACCTCAAGCACACAAGGCTCTACTAAGGTTAGTAATGTCAAATTCACCTATATACATATATGTAACTCTAACAGCCAACTCAGTCAATAACTAATATTGCTATGAGCACTATATATAGTGATAAAGAACAAGTCATATTACTATGCGATAAAGAAACTTTCCAAAAATTTTTTTGCCTTAACATACCTTTTTCATAGAATTACACCATAATATTACTTCTTCCCGCACCCCTACAATAATACAACATGGAGTAATATCAATTAAAAATAAGGATAAGAATTATTCTGATAATCCGACAATCGATATGGATTTCCACCGAAAAATACTACATGTAAAGTAGCTATAGAACAATAAAACAAGATTCTTACCTCGATATACACCCTCATAATAACACCATGAACACCCTACAGAGCCAACACTCCGCTGCCACAACACCCCTAAAGATATACCATAAAATTCATGGAGACAATTATATCAAAACGATGAGCTCGTGACATAGTGCAATTTTCATTAAAGACTCAACCTAAGATCATAAGCATATAAGGTTGATTTGGGGTGTTATACTTTTTTCTTTGGGTGTCAACGAAAAATAATGAGTAAAGAGTGAAGAATACGACATATATAATTGTAACCGACCTAGGGGGCCCAATACCGTCTCTATTGCGCAGACATCATGAAAATGTGAATATCTCTCTATTCTAAAGTCGAATGAATAAACGTTTTAATGAGTAGAAAAATAGACTCATAGATCTTCAATTTGATAGATTGTGGATCCTCGAACTCTTTATATATTGGGATAAAAATTCCAAGACATTTGACCTAAATTATTGAAAGTTTTACGCAAATAACTTGCTAAAATTTTGCCGACTTTTATTTTACAATTTGCATGACTTCAAATCATAACATGCGATCATTGTGATTTGAACACATCATAACATATCTTTCTTATGGTACTAGGTGCTATTGGCCATAACTCGAAGTACGAATTTATTGATTAGATTATACGAGGCGTGACAATTGATTTATTGCAATGTTTAAAATTTAAAGAATACACCAAAAAAATTTGATCTTTTTTTATCAAAGACACAACAATAGATTTTATGTACTGCAAAAAAGTTTAACCATTTAAGAGACTTTAGAATATTCAATAATAAGATAATAAAAATAGTGAAAGGGAAATAAAAAAGGTAAATATAAAAATATTTATGTAGGTTCATGATAATCCTCAAAGTATAAATGAGTCAACCAAAAATAGGTAGCCACTTAAGAAAGGATACTAAATACAACTTCTATTTCTCAATTATTATAGCAACCCCCACATTTAATAAGGTAAGAAGTTATTATAGCAATCCAGACCTTTCTCAATTATTATAGCAATCTAGCTGAACCCTTATATATTTTTAAAATACACTATTAAATAGTGCAGGGGTAATAGGTTCTGCCCAATGGGATTGTTATAACAATTCGGTCAAAGTTCAGATGTATTTCAGACTTTTTCCCCTATTTTTTACTCAAAAAATTATTTTCAAATTTATCAAAACATGAGATTTTTTTAATTAACTATATAATATATCTTTAGAAAAAAGTAGGGGGACTCAAACATTGCTTTAGTGACCTTAAGATCGAGTCAGTCTTGATTTCACATAATTTAAAAATATTTTTTACCGGGATAAATATAGTTCTAAAGTAGGAGTGTAGGAGTATTTTGTTAAAAAATAAAATAGTTAATAGTTAAAATCCTCCTTAAATTTGACATATTTTATCAAATGCACATCTATGAGAAATCTTAATTATCCCCTTATATATGGATTTTTAAAACTATTTAGCTGCGTAAATTATGAGAAGTCTTAATTACCCCTCAAGCATGGATTTTTAGAACTATTTACCTCTTTAATATGCCACATGACACAAAATAATTACTCCATCTCAATTTATATGACCACTTTCTCTTTTAGTCAATCCCAATAGAAATGACACATTTTTATATTTAGAACTAAAAATTTAACTTTAAAATTTCTGTTTTATTCATAATGGAATAATTTATAGTCACACATATATTTATGACTTATTTTAGACCACATTCTTTACTTGAACTTTATGTCAAGTCAAACTATATATCATATAAATAGGAATAAAGATTAAATTTTTACTAAATATAAACATTTGCATTCATTTTGAAATTAAATAAAAAGAAAAATGAGTCATATAAATTAAACTGAGTATTGTTTTTGTGATATGTGACATATTAAAGATAAATAGTTTCAAAATTTTTTGAAAAAAAGATGATTAAGACATTTCTATAGGTGTGCATTTAATAAAGTGTGACTTTTCTCTATTTTCAAACCAAACAGAGAAAAAAATAATTCCTCCACTTCTCGTCTTCTCAAACAAGCTTCTCCATGGCTTTCCCTCCAAGATTTCATCATTTTCATTTCCCTCCTAAATTCAAAAAAACTCGAATTCGAAACTTTCATGGCACATATTATATTCCTATATAATCCTATATCCATATTCTCAAATCTTTACAACAATTCATAATCCTTTCCCACTACCTTTTTTTCTTTTTCTTTTCAATAATGGCCTTTTCATCATCTGCTAGAAACCCAATTGACCCGAGAAATGGATCGAAGAACAGTTTTCGTCTGGTGGGTGAAATCCATGTTATTGTTGGTCCTATGTTTGCTGGAAAAACCACTGCTCTTCTTCGCCGGGTCAATTTGGAATCCAACGATGGGAGGTATTACTACTAGTATTGTTCTTGTTGATTTGTTTTGTGCGATTTTTTTACGATAATTGTAGTTCAATTGGCATGAATCGGTGATAAATAAGATTTAGAAATTTCAAAATTAGGTTGAAAAAAATTGGAACTTGTGATTTTTATGTATGTGTATAGTAGATGAAAATATGTATGTGTGCTGCTCCGTTTATGGTGAATTAAGCAGAAAAGAAACTGAAAAATATGAATTTGTTGAGTTTAAAGTATAGATCGAACTTTTGAAACAAGATTCTTTGCTATATGACTGAGAAGTAATCTGGGATTTAGTGGATTTGAGGTTGATCAATATTAAAAAAAAAATTGGGTTAGGGGAAGGGGAAATGGGGCGAGGTATTACAAGTTGGAGAATCGAACTCACACTAATAAGATGAAAAATTAGATAGTCAATCGAGCTATTAAAATTTCCTAGATGATCAATATCTAGGGTTGGTTTTGTTAGAAATTTTTGTGGTGAATTATTCCCTTTTAAACTGTAAGTTTGAGTTTTTAATTGTGTAAGCAGAAATGTGGTGATGATAAAGTCAAGTAAAGATACAAGATATGCTGTAGATGCAGTGGTGACACATGATGGGACAAAATTTCCATGTTGGTCATTGCCGGATCTTTCATCTTTCAAACAGAGATTTGGAGAAGATGCATATGAAAAGGTACAAATCCTGTTTATTACTTCACCACTCAACAAACTCTTATGTTTGACTTGTTAAGACTTTGTGTGTATTGTTGAGAACTTCTAGATTGTTGATGGGTGTGCGTTGGATTCTTCAAAAGTAGTTTATTTTTGAAGGATTTGACATGGGTGTGACATCATTTTTGGAGAGTTTGAGCAACATAGCCTAAAAGCATTGATCTTTGTACAATTCAGAGCTTTGAGTATTTTAGTGTTGAACTTGGATGATTGATGATTGCGTGATGTGATAATTCTATTGACTTGAGTGCTTACCAGTATATTACTAGTATTGTACTGATATTTATGCCACTAATTGGTGAAAATGAGCAACCTTTACCACACATTGTTGGGGTAGTATTAACATTAGAATTGAACACCAACTTCATATTTTGATGGGAATTAGATATATCTTGTGTCTCTTCACTTGCACCTAGTTAACTAATAGATTTAAGACTTGATGGCTTTGTGAAATCTTCTTATGAGTGCAAGATTGTCAAAATTAGAGAACATGATGCCAAAAGCAGCTGTAGTATCAAGATGGTCTCTTTCCTGTCCAAACCATGAGAATTTGAGGGGTGTTTTGGAAAGTATCATCTTGCACAGTATGGAGAATGAATGCTAAATACTGTTGCTATTAAATCATTGTTCTCTATGATGCAAATATGGGATATATGTGAATTGTTTAGAAGGCAGAAATGAGGGCCAGATGCTGCAATCATAGAATACGATGAGTAGACAAGACATAAGGGAAACTTGAAACACAATTGAGAGTCAACCTAAAGACAGAGCAGTAGTCAGAAAAGAACTTAGTAGGCAAAATGAATCATGCAATTCACCTTAACTTTAGTTAGCACTATTGGCTGTTAGTGTGTGTTCCCTTATCCTAGTAACTCCATTTCTTGATAGGTGGATGTGATTGGCATTGATGAAGCTCAGTTCTTTGGGGACCTTTATGAGTTCTGCTGCAATGCTGCTGATCTTGATGGGAAAACTGTAATTGTTGCAGGCCTAGATGGTGATTACTTGAGGTACTCCTGAAAACTATTTTCCGATCTTCATCAAATACTCCATTAGCCATTGATTTGTAACTGTGAATTCAGAGTTTTCAGATCCTATTGCTCCTTTATCAGTTTACAAATGGGTTCAGCCAAACCCAAGAGGAGTTCAGAACCTATTTGAGCCGTAAAAAGATAAAAATTCACAAATAAGCCACATTTTAGGATATAACTAAAATAGGCTTAGTGTTTTTTTTTTTATCAAAAAAAATTAATTAGCAATTAAATCTATAATGTCTAAATTTTAACATAAAATAGAAGTTTTTCTTATATTTTATAAATGAGACCTTTTCTTCAACTTTATAAAGTGGAAGTTTTTCTTACCCTTAATAAAAAAAGATTTCCTTACCAACAACTTTTCACTTTCTTACTCAAATTTCCTTTTGCATTTGTGTATGCTAAATGTTTTCTTCTTTCTTTTTATTTATTTACCATTATTATACTATGTGTATCCCAATTTCTTTCATCATCTAACAATAAGTCAAATAACAACTATACAATCAAGTCTTAACACCTTCAAGAAAACCTCATAACACAAAGTAGCTATAGTTAGCTAAACATACATTCAACAACATAAAGATAACGATTGTTGGGGTTGTTAGGTTGGAGATCAGTGCAAGGTTATGAAATTTGAGGAAAACGGTGAAAGAAAAAATGTGGCTTATTTGTATCAATTTTATCCCTTTATGCTCAAATAGGTTCTGAACTCACCAATAGCTTTAGTTCAAACCAATAATTGTGCTCTTACATGGTATCTGGTGCTTGTTTGGTTGCAGGAAGAGTTTTGGTTCAGTGCTTGACATAATTCCACTTGCTGATACTGTGACAAAGTTGACTGCTAGATGTGAGCTATGTAACAGAAGGGCGTTTTTCACCTTTAGAAAGACTAATGAGACAGAAACTGAGCTTATAGGAGGTGCTGATATGTACATGCCTGTTTGTCGTCAGCACTATGTTAATGGACAATCTGTCAATGAATCTGCAAACATGGTTCTTGAATCTCATAAAGTGTCAAGTGACCTTATTTTAGAATCTGCACTAGTTGCTCCATAATACACTTGTGTTCCAACTCTTTTATATTATCATGTATCTTAATTACCTAAGTATGTAAGTAAATGAACTTGTTTTACTGAATTCTGATATATATGTAACCTGTCATCCTAGACATACACGAAAATGATCTTGTTTAATGTTGAATGAATTTTTAGTTCCTTTGGCAGTTTTTTTTTACTCTTTTAAGTTTAAGCCTGTTTGGCCAGGCTTTTTTTGTAGGCTATAGACAACTTTTCAGAGAAGTACCAATACTTTTTTTTTACAAAGTTCACTATTGTCATTCTTTTATTTGCACAAAATGTGTGATCACCATTTGCACACAAGTTTTGTTTGAACTTGTGAGGAATTGAATTTTAATTTCAAACTACCAAGGTTAGGATGTATTTTTTATTTCATCATTAATCTTGATGATTTTAATCAATTCAATTTGTTTGGAATTAAAACATAGTACTAATTATTATTGTCATTAGCATTTGTGATTTAGTCACGAAAACAATTGCAATTGAAGAATTCGTTTGTAATTGAAAAAAGTGAGCACATATACTAAAATAACAATAGACAATATAAAGTACGTAAATGAAACAACAACATAAGTGTGTGAGAGAGAGCCCATAGAATTTGAATACTGTTAAGACTTGAGTCTGTTTGAATTGACTTATTCTAAACTCTTTTAAAAGTAAATTTTGTAGTGTTAGCCGTTAGGTAAAAATAAAGAAATACTAATAAACACTTGGTTTAAAGTAAAAAATGACAAAAATAAGTCAAAAGTCAATCCAACCATGCTCAAATCATGTATTTGAGCAATTTAAAGATTTTATAAGATCTGAACATAGGAATCTCATTAAGTACAAACAAATAAGTTTTAAGTAGGTATTTAAACCTAACAAATGTGATATTCAAATGTATGGAATCAAGACTGATTCTTTTTTTTCATTCCTTATGATTCACAAATCACAACTGTCCAATATTACAATAAAAATTGATGAATATGCACTCCAACAATGAATGGTTAAGATTTAAAATATTAATCAAATGGATAATCGGCTCTTCCACTTTGATAAATATTTTATTTTATTGTACTATCTATATTTATTTGTAGTAATAAATAATAAAATAAAATTAAGGAAAAAAAAACAACTCTTATTTCTCTTTTCCATTTCTCAATTTTGTCTCTCTCTTTTGCACAATCGGTTGGTCGCATCTGCATATGAAATTCCAGATTAGCCCTCAACCATGCCGGCTTCAGCATCATCGGCGCCGCCCCCTCCGACTCACAGCCGTCGCGAGGATCTGATCGGACGGTTGAGCTCTTCCTCCACCGAAGCAAAACTCAAAGCTCTCCGTGACCTTAAGAATCAGATCATCGGTAACCGTACGAAAAAGCTTTGTTTCCTCAAACTTGGCGCCGTTCCGTCTGTTACCTCCATACTCTCTTCCTCCTCCGCCACCGCGGCCGCTGCTGCAGCTGGTTCTGTTTGTTCCGGTAATGACGTGGAACTCAACGATTCGCTAATTATTCAATCCGCTGCTGCTATTGGTAGCTTCGCTTGTGGCTTTGATGATGGTGTTAAAGCCGTCCTAGATGCCGGTGCATTTCCTCTTCTTCTTCGCCTTATTTCTTATCCTAATGATAAGGTAATTTCAAATTTTGAGATCTTTTTTTTGGCTCCATTATAAAGAATGTCTAAATTAATTAAAAATTTATACTTGCTTAATTTCTTCTGTTTGTCTGCTATTGCTGTACCCAGAATAGGTCAAAAAAGGTTGTTTTAGTGTAGTTATTAGTTTGTAGTACGGGTTAAATCCTAATTTCAAATTTTCAAGAGTTTTGTTTTGGTGTTTACATATAATTTAAAGCAAATTATACTGGGCAAAAAGTTTCAAGTTACTTGATTAACTTATATATATTATGTTAGTGCTGGTGGAAGAAAAATACTGAAGTAATGTTTGAAAGTTAGTTTGATAGGGAAAAACATTACATCCAAATTTACAAATTGGAACGGAAGAGGATTACTGTGTAACAATCTTTGTTTCTGGTTTGCTTATTTCATCCATTTTCTCAACTTGCTAAATCCTTAAAACAAGTAAAATATCCGTTAGGGTGAAACTAGTGAATCGTAGTAACATACTTTTTTTTTTTTCTGAGAAGGTAACGATTTGTATTATAAACCAGTACTTATGTAGTACTGAAAGCCCCTTTACAAAAACGTATGAAAATCTAGGAACAAAAACAGCAAGCCTAGCATGATTCTAATACTTCTAGGATTGCTTCTGCATCTACAGGGGAACTCTTTGTACACCAAAACATAATAACAGAATACATCATTTGTAGGGATCTGCTTCTATCCTCAAAGCTTCTAGCATTCCTTTCTCTCCAAATGGTCCACCAGATGCATGCTGGAATTGTCCTCCAATAACTTTTGTTCTTTGCCTCAATTCCTGCTTCCTCCCAACTTGAGAGAGTGTCAACAATCTTGCTAGGCATTGTCCATTGAATGCCTCTGCGATTGATGAAAATCTTCCACAGTTGATCAGTGATTTTGCAATGTAAGAACAAATGCCTAACTGTCTCAGCTGCCTCCCTACATAAACAACAATGTGTCACCAGAATGCTCTTTCGTTTCCTCAGATTCTCATGTGTTAGTACTGCCTCCTTTGCTAGCAGCCAAGTGAAGCATGCCACCTTGAGTGGAATTTTGGTTTGTCTCCAAGGCCAATTGAGGGTTAGAGGAGCCCTGTTCATGACCTTGTAACCTGAGCTCACTTTGTATCTTCCTTTGTTGTGCTCTGTCCACCATAGGCAGTCCTCCCCTCCCTTCAAACCTTGAAATGATTCCAACCTTTTAAAGAATTCAACTAATCTACAAACTTCCCAGTCATTTAAATACCTTCTGAGAGATAGATCCCAACCTTGGGGAGACCACATTTCAGCCACTGTTCTGTTTTTTGAAACTGAAATTTGGCGTTGGGGATGGTGGGGGAATCAAACTCTCACCAACAAGGTGAAAGTTCAGATAGCCAACCAACTGAGCTACTAACACTCCCCTAGTAACAGGCTTACGTCTTAATTTGATGATTTTGGGCTCCCTTTAGTCCTTGAAAGGTGTTGGTAAATATCTGAGTTTTATAAATGATTATTTGTTGAATACATGTGCGGCCCCTTAAATTTGTCCAATTTTTTTTTTCCGTTTAGGCACTCTAACTTAGCCTTGTTCAATTGAATAGCTGAACTCAAGTCTATTTGTGTAAATTAGACATGATGTGCTGATGAAGAGTGTGTACTGCCCACCCTTAGCGCGTTAAGCGTTGAGAATGGCTAATTCCCTTTTTTACTTTCCTTTTTATGGTTTCTTTCAAATTTCTCCTTCTTCCCCACTCTTTCCTGCCACTACCTTCGCTATTTTCCACCACCATCCACCTCCTCCTCCCACCACCCTTCCCTCCAGAGGCGAATCCAGGATTTCAAGAAAACGGGTGCACCATTGCTTTAAAGATAAGATCAACAAATTTATAATAACAATACTAAGCGAGCAATACATAAAAATTACATTACCACAAAAAATATCATCAGTTTACAATTGTACTCGACGAGACTTCATATTTTGAAAACGATCTATAATAGCATCATTACTTACATTTTCAAATTTCTTCCGCTCTATCTTACAAACTAAACAACCATTCAAAAATTCTTCACCAATGCTATTACGTAGATCATTTTTGATGAGCTTCATTGAGGAGAATGCTCTTTCCACACTTGCCGTAGCAACAAGCAATATCAAAGCCAACTTTACAAGCAAATAAACAAGAGACCAAGTTTGATCCAATTTTGTTTGTGCCATCATCGTAGCAAGATCTTTAATCCCCTTCAAGTTGAGAAACTTGCTATCACACTCTCGAGCATAGACAACGAAACTATCAAGCTGATAACTGAGATCTCGAAGTTCATTATCACCAAAGTCGCATTTATAATATTCAACCAACTTCATTATTCTGCTCTTACTAAAATTAGCAAATGAATCAACCGGATTCAAACTAGCCATACCAAGGAGTAAGTCACTAGTCACAACATCAAAACGATTATTGAGCTCCTGAAGTTGCAAATCAATAATTGCATAACACACTTCCACACGAAAGTGATGTAAATATGAAATTTTGGACTTCTTACGCTTCGATCTTGGATAGTCTTCACTCATTACGGGAACCAAAATATCATGTTTAGCACAAAATGAAGAGATCTCATCCATCAGAGACTCCAAACCACTCTCTCTCATTGTTTGTAATCTTCTCTTTGAAAGATTAAGCAATCCCATAGCATTGACAATATCTTGATCTTTCTTTTGTAAAGCTTTGTTCAATTCATTTGTAAGAAGCAACATCTTGAACATCAAATGCAACACAAAGATAAATTCAAATTCTTGAATTTTATCTAAAAGGTTACCTGCTGCAAGTTTATCAATATCATGTGGAGAATCTTCTTTCATATCTATAAGCACATTAGCAATTGAAGAATATATAATCATGAAATTTTCCAAAGTCTTGAAATGGGATCCCCAATGAGTATCACCGGGTCTTTGGAGGCCACGTTCTTGATTTAATCCTTGTCCGGTAAGAATTTCTCCAGATTTAAGCAATTCTTCCAACTTCTCAACTTGGTGTTGTCGAAGTAAGTCCCTGCGTTTAAAAGATGTCCCAATAGTATTCAAAACATTAGTGACAACATAAAAGAAATTTTTCACATCCGAATGTTTTTTAGAAAGAGCCACAAGTGTCAATTGCAATTGGTGAGCAAAGCGATGAATATAATATGCAGACGGAACATCTTGCAAAATCAAAGACTTTAAGCCATTTTTTTCTCCTTGCATATTACTAGCTCCATCATAACCTTGTCCACGGAGTCTTGATAGGCATAACGAGTGTTCCAAAAGTAAAGAGTAAATTAATTTTTGCAATGATCTTGCGGATGTATCACCCACATGAACAATACCCAAAAAGCTTTCTATCAACTCTCCGTTTTTGTTAACATATCGTAAAACTAATGCCATTTGCTCTTTATGTGAAATGTCCTTTGACTCATCAACTAGTATTCCAAAATAATCACCATCCAAGTCTTTGATGATAGCTTTAATTGTTTCTTTAGTACAAGCATCCACAATATCT